GACGAAGGCGTGAGCCACTGTTTCAGCAGTGATGTCCTTAATAGGTACTGCTTCTGGCCATCGAGTGTAACGGTCTACACAGGTTAAGAGGTAAGAGTATCCATTTGAATCTGGTAAAGGTCCTACCAAATCCAGATGAACATGGTCGAAACGAGCATCGGGAGTTTTAAACGAGCCTAAGGGACATTTATTGTGTCTGATAACCTTAGATTTTTGGCAGCTTACACAGGAGCGTGCCCACTCCCTCACGTCTTTATTCATTCCAGGCCAGCAAAACCTTTCTGCTATAAGCTTGATGGTTGCACGAACACCTGGATGCGAAAGTTTGTGCAATGTGTTGAAGACATTGCGTCGATAATGTTTCGGCACGATTGGGCGATCCCTACCTGTAGATGTGTCACAAAGTAAGGTTTCCTTACCTGTTCCCATCTGTTTGATGCGTAGTTTAAGTGTTGTGGACGATAACTCGTGCTGAAGATCACTGTCTTCTTTTTGAAGCTCGGCGAGTTTAAGAAGGTCGATTCCTTGGAAACTGTTCAAGGAAGTTATGCGAGATAAAGCGTCTGCAACTACATTGTTTGCTCCAGAGATGTGTTGAATATCTGAAGTAAACTGCGAAATGTAGTCCAGTTGTCGAGACTCACGGGGAAAGTACTTGTCAGAAGGAGAGCTTAACGAGAAAGTGAGCGGTTTATGGTCCGTGAAAAGAGTGAATTCACGACCTTCGATGTAGTGTTGAAAATGCCGTACAGCACAATACATAGCTAGGAGTTCCCTACCGAATGTGCTGTACCTCGATTCGGTGTCTAGCAACCTTCCAGAGAAAAACGCCAAGGGTTGCCAGGAGTTGTTAACCCATTGTTGTAAGACTCCTCCGATTGCCGAGTCGGATGCGTCTACTGCGATGCTAATGGGTGCTCGGGTGTCCTGATGTGCGAGCATTGTTGCTTTAGCAATCAGTTCCTTAACTGTGGAGAATGCTTTTCGTGCGGTGTCGTCCAAATTAATGGATTTCGCATTTCCACGAAGTTGGTCGGTCAGAGGTTTCATGAGTAATGCGCATTTCGGTATGAAACGTCTATAGAAACTTACGAGGCCGCTAAACGTGCGTAATTGCTTGACGGTGGTCGGTTCTGGGTAATCCAGAATGACCGCCACTTTGGTTCTAAGGGATCGAATGCCTTGAGCATCGATAGTGTGTCCTAGGAAGTCAAACGAGTCGGTTCCGAATTGGCATTTCTGAACGTTTACAGTTATGCCATGTTTTTGAAGTCGTTCGAAAACAAGATCCAGATGCTTGAGATGTGTTTCTCTGTCCGGACTTGCGATTAGACAGTCGTCAACATACGCGTGTACGAAGTTGAGACCTCGAAAAACGTCGTCTATGAATCTTTGGAATGTTTGAGCAGCATTCCTTAGACCGAAAGGCATTCGTAAAAATTCATAGAGTCCGAAAGGAGTTATGATAGCTGTTTTCGGTATGTCGTCAGTAGCCATAGGGATTTGGTTATACGCTTTAACCAAGTCGATTTTCGAAAAGACAGTTGTACCCTTCAAAGTAGCTGTCAAATCGTGAATGTGAGGCAACGGGTAACGATCGGGAATGGTTTTCGCGTTCAATCGCCGATAGTCACCAGTTGGACGCCAATCGTTGCTGTCCTTTTTAGGGATCATGTGCAACGGAGATGCATATGGGCTACTTGACGGTCGTATGATCCCTAAGTCCATCATGTGGTCGAATTCGTTTTTCGCTAACCTTAGCTTTTCAGGAGCTAGTCGGCGTGCTTTAGAAAATACAGGTGGTCCTGTAGTCGTGATGTGATGTGTAACATTGCTGGTTACACACGGTAATCTCGGTTGCGTTTGTTGTATCCCAGGGTACTTATCGAGTAGTGGTTGATAGAGTGGGTCTATCATATGTTTAACTGTGACTGGGGATACTCTACAACCAGTAAAAGAAGTTACGCAAACGGACAAATTAGTGTTTCCGTCTACTAGCCTCCGTTTGCGCGTGTCGATGATCAGATTGTGGTGTTGTAGAAGGTCCATACCAATGATTGGCATAGAAACATCTGCAATAACGAAGATCCAGTGTATGGGTTTGCGTAGACCCATGTTAGGGTAAACGCACCTTCTACCATATGTGGCAATAGGCTTTCCGATTGCCTCCTATAAGTTTAAAGCCGATTCGTGAAGCCGGTCGCTAGAATTCGCAGGAAGAACACTAACTTCTGCACCGGTATCGACGAAGTAGCGAACTCTCGTTGTCACATCTGTGACGAATAACAGACGGCTTTGTTCGCCGGCTACGGTTGCCGTTAACGCGTGCCGGCTTGGAAGTTTCCCGAGTTGTTTTTCGAATCAGTCGGTTTCGTGTTGGGAAAATTGCAGGGTTTTCTACAATTTCTGGAAAGCTTTCCATACTGGTTATGATACCAGCACCAGTCGGGGTTATCTGTCTCTTGTGGTCTAGAGACAGATCGCTTGCGAGAAATGCTTCTACGTGGTGTGCGCGATCTCTTACAGTCGGTACGAAGACTAAGATAACGCGTGAGTGTGTGACATAAGTCGGTTATATCATTCTGAGTCGTTTGAGGTTTTTCTTTGACTGAAAATACCTCGGTAGTAGATTTCGTAATTTCTAAAATGCGGTCGGCAGATGCAGCTGGCTCGTCTAAGGCGTTGTTCTGGAACGAGACCAGAACTGCTTGCACCTGTTGGGGAAGTTTTGACAAGAAGAGTTGTTTGAATAGACCTTCGTCGAAAGTTCTTGGGCCTATTATCTCTCTCATCCGTTGCAACATGTCTGTCGCAGAACCGTGTTGCAGGTCGATATTGTTGAAGAGTTGATCTAACCTTTGTCGATCAGTTAGATCTCCTCGTTTAAGAATCGAGCGTTTTAAGATTTCGTAAGGATCGGAAACATCACTAGTAAACATACTAGGTGTTACGTACCTGTTGAATTCGCGCGGTAGTGCCTTGACTACTGCGAGGAATTGTGCACGTGTGTCGATCACGCCGTGCTCGGAGAAGTCGGCTTCAGCGTAGCAAAACCAGGCTTCGATGTTGTCGGGCCAGAAAGGCATGAGTTGAAACGAAGGCGGGGACAAAGTCTTAAGCTTGAGTACTTTAGGTGTCTGTTCAGTCATGATAAAGTATGAAGTACGATAATGAACGAGGGGAAAAAATATATATATCCAAGAAAACAAAACACGAAAAAAAATCAGTGTTTAAAAAAAAATAAAAAAATAAGGCAATGATATATAAAAATCCCAAAAAGGAACAGACTCACAGTTGCAATTAGGTGTACCAGATCACGTCGGTTTCACCAATGATGATGTCACAGGTATTCAGTGTTTGACAACGCTTCCACCAGTAACACCTCTAATCTGGCTAGCGATTGAGGTTGATGTTGAGCACGGCGTTACCACACGTGATCTGGTGCGGATGCATGACCGAGCGCCTTCAGCTAGATGAGTCCACTAAAACATATGGTCGGCATCCAATGTCGAAAACTTAGGGCTATTTATTTTGGGGATTTATTTACCGCTACAAGGTCAACAAAAATAGAAAAATAAAAATTGAGCCTTTCTTTAGATCTTAATGGGATTGTTAGACAGGTTCAAATTTCACAGAATTGTCAGTATCCATTTACAAACTGTCAAATGTTAGAAGGCGTTGCAAAATGTCCTATATTATCAGTTTTAACATTAAGTAAAACGTCATCTTTCATTCCAACTAAAATTATACTGCATGATACTTACAGTTTCTTCAGTAATCAATTCAGTATCTAATTTTCTGGCTTCAATAGGTAAAACATTCAAACAAATCTGTCAAGTAGGACGAAAAACATCATTTTTTATGACATGTTAATCCTCAGAAGCCTTAAGGAACTCCAAACACTTTAGTATTATTAAATTGTCGATTCATATCATAAATTAACTGGAAGTTTGATTTCATTTTATTGAATAAAAAATTATCAAACATTGTTTATGGAAACAATGCTGTACGAAGGTTAATTTTGGTTGAAGTGTTTAGAAAACCGTTTGATATCTGCAAAGTTCCTTGGTTTACTCCCTATCTGTCATTAAATAGGTTTCAAGAAGTAGAATGACTGGAAATTTTTAAGCTTTTTATCTCAGTATAGGCAAGTAACTAGAAGAGTTAAGAGGTACAGAACGTTTATGAGGTCAAATTGGTAATAGCATAAACACCGCTACTTGGCTTCTAAGTCTACTGTATCTTTAAGCGTTTTGGTATGTGCTACTAAAGGAATAACAATGCCATAGTCTACTTAGAGGAGATGACTAATGAAGGATATATTATGTGCTTTGTTTGCTTGATTTCAGAAATCATATGAGGTTGATGAATTTTTTAACTTTTAATATCTAAGGTAGTTGAAGAATCAGAGTTGAACCATATTTATGAGGTAGTTTTGTTACTTTTGGAGTAAACATTCAGATTTTTTACTGGATTACATTCAATCTGTGCTCTTTAAGTCACAGGAGTTATCGATACCCTCTCATTATTTGTCAATGTAGGGTTTTGTGTTGGCTGTACACTGATACTAGTAGAATGAACCGTGTCTGATCACGAATACTTGCGAAAATTTGGAAATTTTTCCCCAAAGTAGATCACATATCTTCTATCATGTAGTAGTTAAGATTTTCTGTAACCCCAGAGTTATTTGTTTTATCAGAGCACCCAGTAAAATATACTGTCTAAAAGAATAAAGGTGATTATGAGATGGAATTTTATGTAGGCAAAAATAATTCCTAGAGTGCTCAAAATAAAATAGGGCTGTTTAATTCTTAGTGATTGCAAATGGCTGTTATATAAAACAGAATTAGTATGTATACAAAACAAACTGTTCTATTACTTATCGATTTGGATTTTATTTGTCAAATTATACGTTATTTCTGTTTGATATGCCCATACTATCAAAACATCTGGAGTATTCATTTCTTTTAAAACTTAGAACTTGAAATAAACTATAAATCATGAAAAACTCAAACGAAAAAGTAAATCCAGTTGAAAATACTTTGCGTAATAAGGTTAGTTACTTATTTATTTATTTATTAATTGTAACATGACTGAAAACCTGTTCAATTAGAGTGCTAGAGGTCGTTCTAAAAGTCGAAGCGGACGTAAATCAGAATCGTCACTTGGAAAATCAGCGGAAAAAAGTGGCAGCAAACATTCTGATGCAGTGGATGGGTCATCATTGGCATCAATCATAGAAAGTCACAAACCATTAGATATATTCATTCAAAATGAACTAATGCCTAATTGCACACCGATATTTTTATCAAAATCAACACAACAGATATTTAATATTGTAACTGATGAACAAATTACCAAAGAATCACCAATCATTTTATTGAACAAATCTGATATACTTAAAGATTTACAGTTACGTGCAGCTATATCAGACTTCAGTGTACAAAAAGTTGCAATAAAAAAGTATCCCGGTTCTGATATTTTGTTAATTTATGATGCAGATTATAAATTTGGTGAAAATTTTGTCATTGTCTTATCTGAAGAGACAAAATCTCTTATACTGAATCCAGTTAAACAAGCAGTTGACGGTCAGTCAGAACATGATGGTGATGGTGATGAGAATGATGGAAGAAACGATGATGAGGACAAGATAGAAGAATACAAAGAGGCCAGTGATTTATGTTTTCTATTCAAATCGAGATCAGAACATGGTTGGATTGAATTAGGTTCAGAAAACGAAATTGCCGAAATGAATACTTTCGAAACACGTTCAAAAGTGTATACAATTTTTCAAAGACCACGTAAAGAATTTGGTAGTGTATTACATTTACAAGATGAAAGTGCGACAAAGAAAGGTTGTTCTGAACATATTTTATCACGTGAAGATGAATCATTTAATATACCTATAATGGAGTTAGATAAATCAGCCACAAATTGTGAAACCACATGTGATAAAGGTATTAATACAAATTGGAAATATCCAAAAAATGCTTTCACTCATTATGTTCCTAGAATGTTTACATCTGATGAATTAAAACATTATTATCATGAAAATAATGATGCTTTACGTAATATATCGAAATTATACACACTATTTGAACAAAGTTTATTAGAAAATGAAATGTACAATTTTTTATCAAATGATTATGAGAATTTACCCATTGGTGATGAAACTTATGATACAAGAAGTGACAATACATTCAAAGAATTTCTATCATTTACTGATTTAAAATTTAGTAAAAATAAAGCTATTACAATGATTCAATGGCATCCAAATATTAAAGGTATTATTGCAACATCTATTAGTGAACGAATAATTTATGATCAACGTATTGATCAAGCATCACGAATTCTTTTACAACCAACACATATTATATTATGGAGTTTTAATGATCCATTAAAGCCTCAATTATTATTACATGCACCAGATGATATTATGTGTTTTCAATTTAATCCAACTAGTCCGAATTATATAGCTGGTGGTTGTATCAATGGACAAGTAGTTCTGTGGGATATTGAAAAACATATTGACGATTTAACTAATGTTAAGTTGCGATTGAAACAAAATAATCAAATGCCTTTATTTGTTTTTGATGAGAATGAATTAAATAAAGTATCAACATCACATTATTCTGCTCTAAGTAATATTGAATCATCACATAGTTCACCAATCATGGATTTGAAATGGATACCGGATCATATAGAAATTAATCGGTTAGGATACTGTTTTGAAAATCATGCACAGAAATGTGTTCAATTAATGACATGCGGTTTAAATGGTGAAATATTACTATGGGATATACGACCAGAGAAAACACCATTAGCTATAAACAAAACAAGTGATTCAATTAAACGACCAAATAATGTACCACTAACATTTTCGACACTGGATTTGAAATGGAAACCATTATTAAGGATACATTTATATACAAACGATCCAGTTAATGACCATGTACCAATTAAGTTTTGTATACGTGTAGGTTGCATTTTATTTTGCTTTATTATTATTGTATAGTTTTCCTTAAGTTATACATATCTCCAATAAATACCAAGATGTAGTTCTCTTGATTAAGGTGATCAATGGCTAGAGACGTTGTCTGATATGGTTCTTAACAGGTCGCAACAGCACAGATGCATTCAACCTTTGTCCCTCCTTAGGTCGTGATATGGGAAAATATTTTATATCTTATTCTGAGAATAAATTCTTTTTTGAACCATATCTTTGAAGTTTAATCTTCTTTTTGCCATTTCTGATACTGATAATACGTTTACTACTCAAATATTCATCCCAATAATTTCGTCTCGTTGTGCTGATAATAAACATTTCTATTTTTCAGTATTAAACTTATATATAGACTTGTACGTACCTTTTAAATGTATGTGTTTATCAATATTTAAATACTTTATGTTCTTCATCCCCTTCTTTATTGTTTTATGTCAGTTTACATTATCCATTAGAACATTCTAGCTTTAGAATTGATTTCATTTATTTCACGAATAATATACGTTTTGTTTTGATCGAAATTTTTAAGGACCTAATGTGTTAATTTCTTGTTTGAAGGAAATGCAAGGAGATCGCAGATTGCTAACGTCTAACACAAAAGATTCCAGTATCAATATAACTGACAACTCATCTAAATTACTCCCACTTCCAAACGCCGACACACATATTTATGCCGGGACTGAAGATGGTGTTATAGTTTATGTTGACTGGATACCACATAAAGATCAAGACACTGGGAAAATGCAAACACCCAAACCAGAATTTTGTTCCTCACGACATGATGGTCCAATTAGTTACCTTTGTCGTTCACCGTTTGATTCCTCCCTAGTCTTGGCTATCGGTGGATGGATATGGACAATGTGGAAGGAAGGAGTTACCAGTGGGCCGATCATAGAATCTGGTCGTGCAAATAAACCATTAACAGGTTAGTGTATCTAGTGTTTAATTAAGGTTATCATTACAACATCATTTTGTACGTTGATATGTAGAAGAAATTACCTCATCTTTTACTGCCACTGTCACCAATAGCAACCACAAGCATCACTGAGTTTCGTCCTGTGTTGCTAAAATCCTATGTTACACAGTCTCTTAAATACAATCCTATAATATCAAATGTAATCACTGTAATTCTTTTTTTCAGAGTCTAGAGCAGTAGGGCTTGCACAAAGTAGATAATGAAATAAACTATTTTCAGTTATAAAGATATTCAACTTTCAAGAGATCTCTTTGCTAAATATCAAGCTTTTTGGTTTAAGATTGTTATCATCTACAGAGAGTGATTCAGAAAATATGCACAAAATCATTAATTCTAAATTGCCAAAATTTATTAAAGTTTTATCCGTTTAACGTATTCTACTTACTGATTTCGTCAAATAGTGTTGATCAACAATAAAAGTCTGGACATAATTGTCAGTCCAAACTATTTGTGATAAATGATATTTTCTTCGTCCTGTAGATAATCGACAGAAAAATTATGAATGAGTTTCGATCTGTTTATACTGGTGATAATCTAGTTTAGCAAAATTCATCACAATGGTAGCATTTTAAATGTCATTCCAAAATGAACTGACCTAACAGTTCAAAGTGAGAATTTTGTCGCTTGGTCAAAATAATTCAGTACGTTATAAAATCTAAAGTGACTAATTGTAAAAATTCCAAATACTTACAGGAAATAGACGAAAAATTAATTAATTTAATATTCCCGGTTGATATGTTTGGTTTATGGAATATGCAGTGGACGGATCGCTTTGTTTGCTATCTGAATAATATTGTATCAATTATTGTAAAGCGTTTTTCATGGTGTTTTGTTCGCTGAGCTGGATGGTTTGGTCGTGCAGCTATCATCATTCTTCTGAATGACATCATCAGCATATAAATATTGGATCGAATTAATTGGTACATCGAGCTCACAGAAACAATATGATTGAGCTGAATAAAAGTTCAGTGGTTCATACTTCTATCTTTTGTCAATGGGATTGGATGATGTGTAATCTATCCATATCTTTTCTTCTTTTCAGTTAGACACGTAAAAAGTGTTTACTTTTGTTGCACTAATTTACCAATATCATTAAAGCGATACTCTGTATTGTTCATAAATAATTCTTATTCAAGGTGGCAGTTGGTCTCCTACACGTCCATCAGTATTTTATACATGTCGTGTTGATGGTAGTATAGAAGTTTGGGATTTACTTGATAAAACTTATGAACCAACAATGATTCAGTCAGTATCTGCTAATCCACTAACTGCTTTATCTATACGGGATTCACCTAAACGTCAATTTATAGCAACTGGTGATATTCAAGGTGTACTACAATTATTTATTGTGAGTTTATTTTAATTAGTAAACTATGTTTTTTCCACTTTATTAAAATATAGAATGCATAATAAAATCTTGATGATTTGAAATTCTATTCTTTTCAACAAAAAAAATCCCCGATTAGATTAAAAGTCATTCAATATTATTTTCAATCTTTTATTAAGATTTAGTCGTCAGTCAGTCAGTCAGCTATAACGTAGGAAGAGTGTATACACCCACACCATTGTGATCGATTCTGAGCCATGTCATCCAGAGTCTCTGACCATTGGTTACGATAGTCACGCGGACCCCAACCAAGTAGTCTGCATCTATCAACATGGCTCTGCATTTTATTAGCATCTTCACTATATAGGACTATATCATCTGAGTATTCAAAGTAAATGGCGAAAAAATTATAAATTTATGGATTACTTTTTATTACTACTAATAAAATATTTCAGTAGCAACACTATTAAGTAATTTGATAGTTAACCATTTGATCAAAACATATTATCAGAAGGGGTTTTGTGGAGATCTTAGAAATCTCACTGGTTGAAATCATGAGTCAATTGAAGCTAGACCACCACGGGAGACCTAGAAGCACTGGACGGCCATTTCGTCTTAAGTATGGGACTCCTTAGCAATGCTCATCCACGATCCCGCACCCCGCGAGATTCGGACCCAGGACCTATCAGTCTTGCGCCAGGCGCTTAACCAACTAGACCACTGAGCCTGCATCCAACGGTGTTAATTTCTAACTTCAACCAATCCACGAAGTTGCGCCACCCTACACCATTGCCATCAGTGAGTTGATATCTCACGACAGACCTAGTTGAAGTCAACTGGTAACGGCTTCTCACTAGAACTCGAGGAGTATCTCTTGAAGTCAGTCACTAGTCAGCAGATTAAAAAATTACAAGGAGTTAATAAATTATTAAGTTGTATCAAAAAAAATAAGTAATTGAACTGAATTGCAAACATGATATTGGTAGAGAATAGAGAATAATATAATAAACAGTGAAATTTTTAGGGATTGGAAAAATATCTAAATGAGTACACTTCATTTTGAATTTTATTGTCTAATGGTCTTTCAAACACTGAAATATATTGACTAAAATACAAATTATAAAGTTTCTACCTATTTATATGACTTGAACTAATAGTCAAATACTTTATAGGCCATTATTATATTTTCATTCTGTGTTTTTATGTTATTCTTAAAATGACTTGTGAGGTATGTCATAAGATTTACAGTGCCTAAATTTTTTTTCATTTTCAATAAATTTGTGAATGTTATTTTATGTTAGACGTTATTAAGTAGTTTATTTTTTATGAATTCTATACCAAATATTTGAGGATAAGCTTAAAATAAGTCTAATACGGAAGAATGTGTCCAGTGATAGTAATATTAAACATAGACATAGTAATAAAATCTTTTACTATAAGGATAAAGTCAATAAATTTACATAGAGTTGAGCATTCACTAATAGACCACAGAGATTCATTTCAATTTGAGTACAAACACTCCAGAAGTATTTTGGATGTTACACCAGTTTTGAATCATAGTAAAGTGTTCGATTTTGAAAATGATAATTATGTTCAATGAACTTTTCTGAATTATACTTTTGCCTTTACTTCACTCCATACTTGAAAAAAAGAGATAAAAACTCTACAATATGCTATTTAATAAACATATAATGTGACCAAATGTTATAGGAGATAAGCTAACTTAAAACTAGCTATTATTGTTGTTATCATTATTATTAGTAGCTTTATTCAATATTATATTTTTGGTACAATATAAAATCTCAGCATAAAGTATTCCAACAAGTTTCGTTTTCTTATTTCTTGATTGATTCTTGAGATAAATATTGACTAGTTGCCAGTTAGATGTTAGCAGTTCAGCAATCAACATTTGAATAATGTACATTGTTTTCGACTCATATTGCCAAGATGTCTCTGATCGAGCTCTTTTGTAACTTGTACAGCGAAATGTCGCAAACTTGTCACAAACGCTTCTGAATAGGTGATGCGACCAATAGGCATAATGATTTGTTAAAACAAACAAGAAAACAGATAACTTGTTGAAATATCCTGATGGTAGGAACAGATTGTTATGGTTTTATGTCCGGCTTTTTATCACGTGATTTATCCACCAATCAAAATATGATTTACACAATCTTAACACTATGCCAAACCAATGACGTTCAATCGGTATGAGCAGTCTAGCGTCCTTATTGGTCCTATGTCCTCCTAGCCCGTCTGCTTTAGTCCAGAACACAATACCAGCTTCTGTAATATAAATCGAATGGAATCGGATCGAATCATTTATTTTAAACATACTCGGTTTATATATCAACCAGACAGACCACAACGTACCATAAAATTGAAAATAACATGTGTACACAAATAAGCCAAAAAGTGGCTGGGAACGCGGGAGACGGTAATTAATAAACTGAGTATAATTTAAGAACAGTAAATCGTACAATAATAATATATGGATCAAAATGAAACTTATAATAACAGGAATATGGATATACATAATCTAATTACTGAATAATTACACCATAAGAATATACAGGTAATATTAGTCAATTAATGTCTCAGGAGTTACTCGTGGTTTAATCTTCGCTCGGATATAACACAGATAGCCCAGATATTCAAACAGGCCGCCTGTAGTGCTTTACATAATAATAAATCCATCGTACATAAATACGCTCTTGATTCATATATTTCAACACATTGCATTCACATGTTCACAGTTTTTTCTAGTCTTCAAGCTCTGGTTCATACTTAGCTACTAGGGTGCGATTGCGTAGAGGTGGAAGTTTTGCTGCATTAAATAGACACAATATTATTACTTCTTCCAGATATATGACTACTACACATATATATTCTGCAGTGTAAATAAATAACAGGAAAAAACTTACTAAAATACTTAACGGTGAGAATTTCCTGCTGTACTAAACATGAATTATTGGATAAAGCGATTACTATTTTCGTTAAATATCTTTATTGATATAAACATTATACTGATTATAGGTACCTAGACGTTTACAAACTCCTTTACCATCAGAATTAAAAAAATTCAATGAATGCATTGAACGTGAAGTGAAAAGAAAAGAATTTGTTTCGATGCGTTGGAATTTAAGAGAGCAAGAGAAAATTGAACAAGAAGCGGAAAACAAAAGAAGGGCTGGTTTAGCACCAGCTGTTATGTTGAGCGACGAAGAAATCATTCAGAAAGAAAAAGTAAGTTAAAAGCATAACTACTGTGTAGTAATTGTGTTTAATTCTAATTAAAATAATTTATTATTTAAGACAAATATTGAGGGCATTTAGAGTTATAACACTTTTCTCAATGCAAAAATATTTATTTAAGTATAAGAAGTGTCTAAACCACTTTGCTTATCCTGAAGGTTTCGTGGCGAGACTACAATTTATGGACGAACCAATCAGATTCAGGATAACATGTCCAGAATTTTAATGCTATATTCATTCATCTATATGTCTAAATAGCGTTTCGGCAGTTTTGCTGATGTCAGTTCGTGATGAAAATCACAATTGTAATTTCTAACTCTCACCATCAATTGTAAATAATAATCCTTATCCTTCAAACTGCTTTATAATCCTCATTTAGCCTTAGTAAGTAGGTGGACATTTCCATGGTCACCTAAGCGTAGCTCAAATGTCGTTTATAAATTATAGTCTCACTGAGTTAATGAAACATTTACTTATCTACCTAAAATTTCTATCTGATAGCTCACTCCATATTTGTCTAAGGCTATGAAACAGCCTATGGAAGCCAGAAATAATGGGAGGTCATAAGTATTTGACCAAGGACGTTCTCAGAACATTGATCGGGTCTGATGAAATTGAAAACTGTAATTGTGCAGATTGTGCAGATTCACTAATGCGAAATGCTTTGACCAAGTACACAGAACACACGGATGGCTCAAAAACAATACTTCAAAAATCACCTCGTCGAATCTCAAAATGTCATTAGATTTACTCATAGTTGTGGAGCCTGATAAAATAAGGTAAAGTTTCTTAATTAAAGGAGAACTATGGTATCACAGTAAGACTTATCTCAAGAAAACACAAGAAAATCATGGCTATTTTGATGTTTACTGTGTATTAAGTTAATCTAAATTTTAGTTCAGCTAGATGATCAAAATGAGAAGGGAAAAGTCTTACGTTTTTATGTCATCCAATACAAGATCAAAAGCCAAAACGTTTAAAAAGAGAATGAAGAATATTATTACAGATGTTTATTTTAAAGAGTTGTCATCATCTACATAACTCTTAAAAACTGGATAGTATCGGACATCCGTTCTCTCCCAATGTCAAACTCTTCAGAAGTGTTCATGCACGACTCCACCAAAGATCGAAATCAAGACCTTCTGGTGTATCAAGAAGTAGACAACTTAAACATTGTCATTTGAATATCGCGTTATCGTTGGAAGTTCTAAAGGTCTTGAGTCCCATCTGTATTGGAATCATGAGCTCTTAATATTTAGAAGTCTCGTACTGGAAAGAAACCAGTGTTTAACACCTACTTTGTTAACTGCTTCTCAAATCAATCCAATAGGAAAATGATCTTTAACTCAAGACAATATATAAAAATTCAATTAAACTTATTATTTGTCTAATTATTAGAGAATATATTAATTACAGTTAAAATTTATCAGAACCTCATTTTACCTTGACCTTATAGGATTGTTAAGAATCTAATCACTCCGATCTATAGTACGGTATAAACCAAACAGCCAATATGATGTTCAGTCAGTGACGACAATAAGATAACCAAGTTTCAGATATAATCGCATATGATTTTAAAATGTTTTATATTTGATTAGTTTATCGTACATATATTTATAACTCATTCTTTTTTGTGAATATTCTAGTTCGAATATGAAAAGTATTTATCAGAAGAACATACTTTCTTAAGATCATTAGGACTAGTTGAAGAGGATGATTAAGAAGAATAAAAAATGTGAAAGAAGAACATTCGTTTGTCTTTTAGAAATTTGTAACCTTTCGAAACGATCGCTTTCACGTGAATGTTATTAAATATATCGATTTTAATTAGGTGTACTCTTTTTGACCAGTTGTTTTTTTCAGGACCAATTGCAGGTTAGTGAGGTCATCTTTTGCATGTAGCTCAATTCTAGCTATATATTAAACCTATCGTTTTAATTTTTACGAGATCGATATATTACCGAAATTGAATAATAGGAACTCTTACTTTGTACAGTCCTATCTAAATGATAAGCAGAGAGACAAATAGATTTTTCTGACAGCATTCAGAATTAGTAGTGGAAACATGAACTAACGTATAAACTAAAGGGCTATATTGACTTTATGACTACTTTTTGGAGAAAGACATGGAAAATTTATAAACTCCACTATTTTTCTATGAGTTATTGTATGAATGACTATACAAATTATTATCTACTACTACGAATTCTTTTCAGCTTCCTGTGTTATCTCAGTGACAGAAAAGTTATGCAGTTTTTCATACCGCTTAACTAACCGACTAATCTGTAACCTAACCTGACAATCCTTTCGAGTAGTAAGAATTACTTTCTTGCTCACACTATAGTACACTTAACGCTCTGTAATAACGACTTTCGATTTTTTCGATACTTGAATTTATATTCGATTTTTCGTGTGGTGATAGTGCTGGTGGCAGCCGTGTTACACTCACTGTAAGATCCATTTTGAATGCTTTGTGTGTTTGTGAAAATCCCTCCATGTATATACTTGCACTTTGTTCCTATCGATCCTCTTAGTTGTACATTGTTAACTTTTTGACTACATTTGAATTGTTAATATTTGTATTTTATTATAGTTTTCGTTTTTACTACACCTTCGCTAATTTCCCATGTTTCTTCCCGAACTGCACTTATGTTATTTTACTTTATACTAAGTCTGGGCGGCAGCCATTTTGGTTTATCCTTGCTTTTGATTGCTTGACCTCTGTTGACTGGAATTGTGCATTTTGGTTGTGAATAGAAGCACTCTTCCAGAATTGAAAACACTCTGTGTTATAGAGCGACCAATTATTACCTTTTGAACGAATCTGTACGTGATCTATCCAGACAGGATAGAATAACATTTATTTGTGGTGATTGGTAATTTTCTTGCATCCTTTATCAACTTTCTTATTTATTGTAGTTTAGATTTGATCAATTGAACAATTATTGGTTGGATAGCTGAGTGGTTATATTTGTTTAGGTAATAATGTACACTTAAATTTATGATAAATTATAGAACCGTCATCTTACCCAATTACTTTGTTTCGGTTTCAATCGGGCGAGGGCGCGTATCTAACTCATCTAGACAGCTGTCCTTCACTCCAAACCGTAGTTTGGATCTTACAGTTCTAAACAAATAATTTGATCTAATTCGTTTGGTTTTCGTTTCGCTGATTTCAATCATTGTCTCTGGGAATATTTGATCGTTCGCTTGCGATCCCAAACAATCGTCGAAGGAAATTAAGTCCAAGGCTCGTGGAAGCTAAAAGAGATGAAAAAAAGGATGGATCCCCTCAATCAAGGCAAGTGTCTTATGATGCTTCTATGTGTCATGGTTCATATTCTAATAGGGACGATTGTAATTATAGTGAGTCTAGTTGTGATATAATGGCAGATGGCATAGAAAACCTTGGTTTAGACGTAAAGCAAGCGAAAAGCGCGGTGCCTACGGCGCCTTTCGTAGGTCTAGAGTTACCAAAGGTTGAGTTAAGTTATTTCGACGGTCAACCTAGAGGTTATTGGAGGTTTTTAAGGGAGTTTGAGACCTATGTGGAATCAAGGGTCAAGGATGATGGTCAACGCTTGCTTTATTTGATACATTATTGTAAGGGTAAAGCGAAAACAGCCATTGAGGGTTGTATTATGTTGGAAGCCTCTTCTGGTTACAAGAAGGCCAAAGAAATTCTAAAACGGTTATTCGGACAGGCGCATTTAATCGCTCGAGAGACACTAGAAGACTTATTCAAGCCGGGAATTTTGATTATACTGACTAAGAGCAATTAACAAACTTGGCTATTAAAATGGAAAACTGTGCTATGATCTTGGAACAGACGAATTATGTCTCTGATCTAAATTCCTTAGTTACCTTGAAAAGAATAGTGAGACTCTTGCCTCAGCCTATGCAATCCCAGTGGGCGGACTGGGTGGATGAATTGACTGAAGATAACAGGGAACCGACCTTTGGCGAGCTCACTCAGTTTATCGCATCGCGTGCGAGAGTGGCTTGTAGTGGATTTGGACGGTTAGCAAACCGTTCTAGAAAAGGACATAACGTAAAGACGAACTGTCACGTGCAATCGGAGCAAGGGAATAGTTCGACAATGAAAACTAAATGTAGTATGTGTTCCTACGACCATGCCATTGATAAATGTCCACAGTTCTTAGCGCTTACAGTTCAAGACCGATGGTCTCACGCTAAAAGCAAGGGTATCTGTTTCGTCTGTCTTAGACAAGGACATAGAGTTAAGGAATGTAAGATGACAAAGCACTGTAACGTTGAGGGTTGTGAAAAGAAACACCATTCTTTGTTGCACAGCGAGAGTGAGAAACCTGGTATCTTGAGTTGTTGCGGATATACTAAATCACTAATCAGTCAAGTGTGTTTAGGCATGATTCCCGTACGGTTGAAATCGCGAAAAGCCGAGATTGTGGGTTATGCTCTGTTGGACAACGGTTCTGATGTGACACTGATAAAGTCAAACTGTTTGAGGTCTCTCGGGCTGAGCGAAGACGAAGCATCAATAGTAGTTGAGACTGTGGGCGGTAATAGAACAATGAAGGTCACGAGTGCGCCTTTTGAGGTATATTCTTTAGATCGATCTGAACATGTTACGATTGAAGGAGCTCTGATTGTGACAGGTATACCAGGTCATAAGCCAACAAAGTCGGCAGTGAACAGCCTAGTTAAGTGGCCACATTTAAGGGATGTACCGATAGATAACTTAGACTCTGAAGAAGTTCTGCTGTTGATTGGTTGCGACGTACCAGAAGCACACTGGGTGTTAGACCAGCGGTTGGGTGGGAGAAAAAGCCCGTACGCTGTGAAGACGTTGCTGGGTTGGAGGGTCTTCGGACCTGCATCGTATCCGGAATATAGGAAAAGAGTGGTCAATCATACCAGTAAGATACAGACCTTGGAGAACGAAATACGTAAACTTTATGATGTAGAGTTTTCTGATGTTTATTCAAATGATAAATCAGCATCACTAGAAGATAAGGCGGCTATAAGGATTGTGGAAGGGGGCACACGCTTCGAAAATGGTCATTTTGTAGTTCCTATACCATGGAAAGTGAACCCAAATATGAAAGGGGGGAATTATGAAGTGGCAAGCAGTAGACTACAGAGTTTGAAGCGTAGATTGTTGAAAGATGACATTCTGTATATCAAGTATACAAAAAGTATTGAAAGTAATTTTATTAAGGGCTATGCGGAGAAGATCCCTGAAATACAATTGCAACCTAGTTATCGCCCCCGGTGGTACTTACCTCACCATGCAGTTATAAACCCGAAAAAGCCAGAAAAACTGAGACTGGTCCTTGACTGTGCCGCCAAGTTTGCAGGCGTTTCTCTAAATGATATGATTTATCAAGGACCCGACACAACTGCTGAGTTAGTGTGTATATTATTGCGTTTTCACAAAGAAGCAGTCGCAATCTCTGCGGATGTTGAAGAAATGTTCATCCAAGTGAAGGTACCTGAGTCTGATCGAGGAGCTTTAAGATTTCTGTGGTGGAGGGAGACATGTCGAGAGAACCATCCGAGTTTCAAATGACATCTCATCCATTTGGTGCCATATCATCTCCGTTTTGCTCGAACTTTGCCTTGAATAAGACGGCCCAAATATTCTCTGACGGTTATGATGGTTATGTTGTAGATGCTGTTAAGAATAATTTCTATGTTGATGATTGCTTGATATCCATTCCCACTTGTGATCAAGCAAAGAGTTTTGTTAAGCAGATAAGTGAATTATTATGTAGAGGAGGTTTCAAACTAAAGAAATGGGTTACCAACTCGGAGGAGGTAAGGACCATCTTGCCTGATGTATGTAAAGAACAGTCCTTGATAAAAATGTCAACGAATTACGACACTACTCATCGAAACCTAGGTGTAGAATGGGATTTTAAACAAGATGTATTTAAGTTTTACTTTGATGCACTGGAAAGGCCTCTGACTAGGAGAGGTATTCTATCTATAGTTTCTTCTCTGTTCGATCCTCTGGGTCTAATTGCTCCAGTCTGTCTTACTGCCAAACTCCTCTTGCAAAAATTGTGTAAGTCCCAAATAGGCTGGGATCAGCCTCTCAACGAGTCATACATGTCCGCGTGGCTAAGCTGGGTAAGTTTTATGCGTCAGATAGGTCACATCACGGTAGCTCGAGGTATCAAGAGGAGAATCGACGAACCCGACGCGAAAGTGGAATTGCATTTGTTCAGTGATGCTTCAGAGGTTGGTTATGGAGCAGTTGCGTACGCACGAGTCAGTTATTTGAAGGAGCCACCATATTGTATCTTGTTGTACAGCAAGTCTAGGGTAGCACCTATCAGACAAGTCACTATACCGAGGCTTGAGATTGCGGCAGCGATGTTAAATGTGAGGCTTAGTGACGTATTACGGAGAAGTCTGCCTAATTTTTTCTGCAAAGTGAACTTCCATACAGATTCCATGATAGTGTTATACTACATTAGGAATATCGAGAACCGGTATAGCACTTATATAGCCAACCGCCTCGCTGTGGTGCACCAGTATACGAAGGTTGAACAATGGAATTATGTAAAGTCGTCACAGAATCCAGCTGATTGGACCTCAAGAGGTATACAAAAAATGACTGATCTTGAATCTTCGTTCAAATGTCCTACCTTACTGCATGGCGAATTCTGTACAACAATCACTGACTGTCCGGAACCTACTCCTGAAGATATTGAGTTTAGAAAAACTGCGTTGGTTAACTTGAGTAGTATAAAGTACAACATGTCACCTATTCTCTCTTATTACTCCGAGTGATTGAAATTAGTCAGGGCCGTAGCCTGGCTTAGAAGGTTCATAGAATTTCTGATGGTGCTTCGTTCACCGAGTCATGAAGGATCCATTCATCTAGGATGTTTAAAGGTCAAAGAGCTTGACATCGTCAAGCGTAAAATTTTATTGATGGTTCGGAAAGAAGTGTATGGAGAAATACTTAGTGGACTTAAAAACAATGGTAAAGTAGTTAGTCACAATGATCTGAAGGGCTTATCACCGATAATGCTTGATGGGTTACTCTGCGTTGGAGGTCGACTAAGCTACTCAGACTTCTCAAATGCCTTTAAACATCCAATAATATTGCCCAGTCGACACTTAGTGACAGAACTGATAATTAGACATTATCATAAGGAACAAGGGCACACAGGAACGTCACAAGTACTAGCCACGATTCGAAAAAAGTATTGGATAATAAAAGGAACCAGCACAGTTAAGAGAGTGATAGGAAAGTGTGTGACATGCCGGCGGTATACGATGGTTACAGGGCAACAACTGATGGCTCCTTTTCCAGCTTGTAGAGTTCAACAAGGATGGTATAACTTCTCAGCCGTGGAAGTAGACTACTTTGGACCATTTTTTGTCAAAAGAGGAAGATCATTAGAAAAAAGATATGGATGTGTATTCACTTGCTTGCAAACCCGAGCAGTACATATTGAAATGACACATAGTTTAAATACTGACTCGTTTATAATGGCCTTGTTACGTTTTATTGGAAGAAGAGGGAAACCTGCCGAAATTTACAGTGACAATGGGTCAAATTTCGTGAGTGCGGTCTCTGAATTGAGGAGATTTGCGCAACAGTTGAATCAACAGAAAATAGACAAAGAACTCTCAGCTAGGCAGATTCAGTGGCATTTTAACCCGCCCTCATCCAGCAACAGGGGTGGAGTTTGGGAAAGGATGATTAGGTCCATATGCCGACTGTTATTATTGATAACTAGAGAACAGACTCTAACCGATGAGACATTAAGCACTTATTTGATTGAGACTTAAAGGATATTGAACGATCGACCCTTAACTCCGGTCGTTCAACATGCTAACCATAAACTAGTCTTGTCACCAAATAGTTTGTTATTATTGAGAGAATGTGATGGAATAGTCGAAGAAGGTAGCATCAGAGATAAATATGACAAACGTTGGAAACAGGTTAATCATCTTGCTAATGTGTTTTGGAAAAGGTGGTTAAGAGAGTATTTACCGTCCCTACAAAAACGTCAAAAGTGGTTAGTTGAACACCGCAATTTTCAGAAAGGGGATGTAGTGATCGTGGCTTCGGACATATCGACTCGTGGAAAATGGCCCTTAGGAGTAGTTGAAGATTGTGAAATAGCTGACGACGGAAGAGTTAGAACAGTGGTTGTTCGTACGAACGGTGGATTAGTCAGGAGAGATATACGTAGATTATGCCTCCTTGAAGGCACGAATTAGTTCCTCGTATTATCAATGTAGGTAGGTCGAGTAGGCGTACTGTTGTAAGTCCTACTCGTTCCTATAGTGTCATATGCTACATAATGAACCATGACCATAGGCATCAAGGTAGCTTGTGTGATATGGAGGGATTTTGGGGGCCGGTGTAAGATCCATTTTGAATGCTTTGTGTGTTTGTGAAAATCCCTCCATGTATATACTTGCACTTTGTTCCTATCGATCCTCTTAGTTGTACATTGTTAACTTTTTGACTACATTTGAATTGTTAATATTTGTATTTTATTATAGTTTTCGTTTTTACTATACCTTCACTAATTCCCCATGTTTCTTCCCGAACTGCACTTATGTTGTTTTACTTTATACTAAGTCTGGGCGGCAGCCATTTTGGTTTATCCTTGCTTTTGATTGCTTGACCTCTGTTGACTGGAATTGTGCATTTTGGTTGTGACTATGAACACCGCTACCAAGAAACACGTGCCAAGTAAATCAGAAGGCGAAGGTTGAACGTTGAACATACCTCGGTAAAATTGAAGCCACTGATGCTCTCATGCCACCATATTCAGAGGCTCGATAATACGAATCTTCATACAACTATTTGACTTGCATGGATATCATGAAGCAATCTGAATTGAACTTAAAACATCAAAGTACTGAACATTTGTTTTTTATCAGTATAAGACTCAGTTGTGCCTGTAACGACCCTGAGCACTGGACACGAAATCAACAACTGCGGTCAGACGCTTAACCTCTGAACCGTTAGGTTGATATTCGGAGTTGCCGTTGTTTTACCTGAGTTTATAGTGTTCTAGCGTTGGTAGGTTCGTAGTTTCTATGAAATTCAACAGTCTCCACAACCCCATAACGAAACTTCTTGATTATTGTTTATTGAAAGTATTAGCGCCTGAACATGTATTTGCGTTACGGCTCGTAGTACAAGTGAGATGGTCCGTGGGGTTTTTGTCTGTGTTGCCGCGGGGGCTGGCATTATTTTTGCAGGGTATTGTTTTTATTTTGACAGAAAAAGACGGAGTCACCCTGATTTTTGGAAAAATCTCAGAAAAAGTGGGTTAATTTTAGTGAATAATATTGGAATAGAGAGGATGGAACAAAAGGCTCTTGAAGCTCACAAGTCATCCACTTTCCCATTGCCACCTATAAATGATCAGACTGGGATGCAGAGATTTTTTCTTCAACAAATACAGCAAGGAGAAACTGCCCTGAGCATGGGCTCTTTAGATGAGGGTGTCAACCATTTTGCTATTGCCGTTGCTGTTTGTGGTCAACCCAATCAGTTACTACAGGTGCTCCAACAGTCACTTAGCCCAACTGTGTTTCTAAGGCTTATTGAGGTCCTTCCTTCGGTGCAATCTGTGAGTAGCTTGCTGTGTGTTTTTGGCGACGTTTTCCGCCAGTGTCACAAACGTTTTACTGTTGGTTTTACATGACTATCGAGAGGCTTTTTATTTATTAATAAAAAGCCATTGTATAAATTGCAGTGCATTTAATCTCTTGTCTGATGCAAAATGAAGCAAAGACAATGTATCCCTCTATCAATAAAAGACAAGTATACTGCGCGGAATTTCGTTCTGTTCTAGTTTAGTACTGGGAAACAGCCATTAAGGGTAGAAGATACTCGTAAGTTACTAGTATTTTAATGACACATATCTTATAAATATTGCTCGCATCTGCTGGGACCACTAGGTAAGTAGTGAGGTTAGATGCAGGCTATTATGGAATGATAGTTAATCTTGTAAATCTTCACCGACTGATGATTGGGCCACTTAGTGCGCATGCCTGAACACCGACTACCACGACGCGCGATACTGTCTAGTGTAAGAGATGGTTAGAAGGAAGTTAAAAGTGGTAAATCAGAACGTGGCATCAGTCCTTGAAGTCACTAACTTCTGGTCTGAGCCATGTTGGTAGATGCAGACTACATTGCTGGGGTCTGTGCCACAATCGTTACCAATGATTGGAGACTGGATGACATGGCTCAGAATCTATCACAATGGCGTTGGTGTATACACTGTCTTTCCTTATATTGGGAAATTGAAATTGCTTTATATCTTTCTACGAACTAACTCTTTCTCCTGTACTATATCATTATATGCATTCTTTCTTTTATATATTACTACCATTGGAATAACTACTATGAATTTAATGTTCATCTTGTTGTGCTAATGGGGTATGACAACTTGGACTGATGCATATATGTGCCTGGTCCTATGTTGTAGCTGACTAACTGACTGAGTTCCAGTGTTAGGATGGGAGGAGTAGAATACGGGAAGTTTATTGTCCTAACAAAGTTGCTTAATACCAATAGCTCAGAGGAGTTCGCTGACTTAAATAGGTACACCCGGGTAACGACCCATTATCTGACCAATGTTCTATGCAATAGACCGTTCAGCGGTGCACTTTCAACAGATCGGTTTAACTTTAAAAAATGTCTGTTATTCTCTACTATTGACTTGCTTTTTATCAACACTAGATTTTATCCACCATACAAAAGTCATTACTCCAAGACAACAAGTAATACGCAAGATGTTGCTGCGTTCATATTTTAGTATAATATTGTTAATGAGTGTAAACAAATTGACAAGTATTCCCATCCGGCTACTTTAACTCTCAGGTTCTTGACTTCGAAATAATTTATTGCATTTTGTAAATGTATGGTTTAATCCCACCTCAGTCTAATTAAAGCAGCCAGGTTTTTACGCTTATGTCGTATTGTCACGAGCTTGCTATGGTGATTTATCCTTCTAAATGTTTTTTAGAAACTCAGCAACTATGTGATTTCACTGTTGAGTTTCATCAAAACACAAGTATTTGATAAAACAGAATATGTAAATTGCCTTCGGAATTTCGCTCAATTCATTTTCAATAATGAGTCAGTTAATTTACTCGTAGATCAACTAGTGTACATAAAAAGATAGTCGATCATAACTGTTGCTCATGAAATCCCATAGTTACTAAATCTGTAAAGTGAGTTACGGTTTTGACACTTATTCAAAAGTAGGGTTAGGCATTCCTATTAGATTGTCTCCGTACATAATGTTGCTATTATTGATCATCTATCTACATGTCATTGTGATACCTGGGTTTTAGTCGTTTATCTTTTGATAATAGGATAGTAAGGTAATCTGTTTATGCATATTAGTAGTGGGATGGTTTGTCAGATATCAGGCTCGTCAAGCCAACTTTTCCTCATATATTTTTGTTACTACAAAGCGTTGTTTATGTTTGTGCAATGTCTAGTAACCTCAGTGGGGTACACTCATAATTCTTTATTTTTTTGGATTTTCAGAAATACAAGACGATGATCGCTAGTCGTACATCATCAGCACGAGAAATCGAAGAAGATCTGGAATAGAAGTATCTTAAATTGTTAGTGTACAATTTGACTCCAAAAAATATATTAGTTTTTTATATTACTGGTTCTCAGTAGTAAGATGGTTTTTGGTTATAACCGGTTTGTTTTGATTTTTAGTTATTGCTAACTGGACTTATCATTGTTCTGGTGTTGCATAGATCACAAGCTGACTTAGACCCTTATGACATGTTCGGAGGGCTTCCCATGGACCAAGAACAAAGTATGTCAGCGCTGCGGAGCACTGCTTCTTTTTTGGCTCCTAGTCCATCGGATTCTTTAGCTGCTAACCATCATCAAGAGCAGCACAAAATCCTTGTCCGAACTTTGTGGCGGAATATCAACCCAAGAAATTTACCAAGTATCCTATCAAAAACCCCAATCAAAGTTCAATTGGAATTTGTATTGCAAGAGAAAGATATATATATATTAAACAAGTACTGTAATTTAAATAATGACTCTGAAAACCGTATATCACCTGATTTAATAAACAATATTTTTTCAGAAATTGTCCGCCCGGTCGCGATTTCTAATAATTCATATTTGTTTCAGTGGTTAACTAACGTACCGTCCTTCTGGATATTTTCATTGTCTTGTGCCATCGCTTTTGTCTGGTTGTTGATCATTTTCCGCTCTCGATACATATTCACGCTAGTTCCGTGTGGGTTGTGTATCCTAATATTTTGTCAATCAGTTTACACAAAATACAATGCACGATTGGCTCGAAAAATGTCTGTCTTGTCTCGGCATAATGGTCCTCCTGATGACTGTAAACCTTTCCATCAACAAACTTGGCCACAGATGCTTAGTACTTATTTCTCCTCTCGTCCAGCGAACGACGAATGTGCGCGTTACTATGAAGAAGTGCTGTCGGAACCGTTTCTATCCACCAGTTTATACGAAGTATGTCTGGAACTAATATGTCAACCAGTTATCTCATTATGTAAAATTTTGGGTATTGGGGTTGGACAATTATATCACAATTTGTCAGAATATGTCCCATTTTGGATTGCACCATTCATCTGTGCATTCTGTATGTTTATGGGAGTTTTCGCTTTTGTTAAAACAATACACAGTTTTACTGGGCCGCAATCACGCAAACGCCGAGTACGACATAAAATAAAATCATCATCAATACCATCAATTACTTCTTGATGTACGTCTTGACTTTCCGATTTTACTTTGTACCTTACATCTTTCGGTGAATTGTGAGTAGTGAATTTGTGTTTACTCTTATTTTTGTTCCAATAAATGATTGCTCAATTAGTTCATTTTACTGTATGAGTTTAGTTGAAACAAAAGAGACAGTTTTAGGTCTAATTGGTTCAGTTGTTTGTGTAGTGTGAGATAATTTTATATTAAACTACCAACAGGTACCTATCACCAACACTAAAATGTACTCTCGTCATCCTACGGACTAACGCATACTCTCGTAACTTGTACTTACTACCAGTTTTCTCACTTAAACAGTCATTATTAGCGCTTCCAGCTCAGAGAATACTATCTACAAATTCATAACACCACACTTAAAACGATTTTTTCGTAACTTCCCATACTCTTTCAAATCGACCAACTGATCGAACTATCCAAGTCTTTAATTCTGTCATAATAAACCGGCATACAGGAGAAATTTTATTTGATATCGCTTGGTTCACATAAATAAGATTCAATTGTTACTCGTCATCATGTACTAGCCAACACTAAATGAAACAAAAAGGTGCTGGAGATGACCAGAGTGTAAGGTAGTTTAAATTATGTGGTTTTAAAGTTTCACTAGCGCAAATTGATGTACTTTTGTTCTTCAGAGTCTCAGGCATTGTGGCTTTAGTGTTATTAAATTCGTCCGTTCAATTACTTGGTTCTTTAATAAAAGGGGATAGTTGTAGTCGTAGAGATTTAAATTATTGAAAGGATTTCAGCTTGCCAATAGGCTCATGTATTAATTTCTGAGAAAATCAATAGGTGCCAAATTAAACATTGGTTTTCGTTACTAACCCATACGTCATCAAAACAGTCTGAGGATTGTGCGGCAAACATTTCAGGGCATAGTGATTGATAAAAAAATATCATTAAGCTCTTCGAGGACATTCGATGAGCGTCAAACTGAGCTAGATACTGGGTTGTACGTTTACGTTTCCAGAAGTAGCTCGTGTAACAAACCTAAATTTTCGTTTTTCAAAGTAAATTAGAGACTTGTTTGAAAAACAGAAATAAGATCATCTGGGTGATTGTAGATGACTTGGAATAAATTGTTCGATAAATATATTTAATATAAGCTTCATATATACAAGTGACTATAAGCACATTTGAAGGACAGAGGAGTTCATAACAATTTATGACTCATAAACTTAATTGACAAATATAACGATTGGTAATATAGGTTTTATGGATCACAGTTAATCCTGTTTAAATATTTCACAGATGTGTGTTCCCATTATAGTTACAGTAACGCCAAACCAGCTAACGACAGCCACATCAATACTAACATAGGGACTGGGTATTGAAGTTAGGTAGTTACGTTGTTCAGTCAGCCAGAATAATAATTATTAGCTTTATTCAATATTATATTTTCGGTACAATATAGAATTCTCAGCACAAAGTATTTCGGCGAGTTTATTTTTTTATTTCTTGATCGGTATTGACCATAAATATTGAGCGATCACCAGTTAGATGCATTTCAGAAATCGACATCTGAGTAATGTTTATCCTTTCCAATCCTTATTGCCAGCAATCACGATGTCTCCGATTGTACATTTTTGTAACTGAATAGGTTATACAATTAATTGACATAATGATTTGTTAAAACAAACAATGAAACAGATAGCTTGTTGAAATATCTAATTAGCGGGAACAGGTAGCTCAGATATTCAATCTAATCATCATATTATTTGAATAAAGCGAGGACAAATATCAAAGCAGAACAATATGTATTCAGTGAAATATTTCCGGGTGCTTGCAACCTATCAACAGTAGCATTAATTTGAAGATGGCATCAGTCACACACTTATCTCAGTTGGAGAACCATTAATACCAGAGTACACTAAACAATTAGTCTGTTCTAATATGAAACCTCCTAGTAGTACTCACTCACAACTCCTTCAGGGATCGAAACCAGAACTTGACGCGGATATAATTACTGCATATCGTATTAAAAGAAAAGATCTTGTAAATAAATATAAATAAGTATATTGTTCTTACGGCCTACTACCTATTATAAATATTCGAGAAAAAATTCTAAAACACTTGGGGATGGAGTGGACGTCATGTAAGGACAACTACAGGAAGGTACGACACAAGAATGAGGAAAAGGTACTCATAATTAAGAGCACGGAATAAGATATTACGGCATTAAATAATGGAAACCAAGTTTACCAAGATAGTATCCCATTGAGTGGATAAATCTAAATAAACTTTTCGGTAACGATGGTTTCGCGAAAACGAAATAAGTCCTCAGTATGTTGATTACTTTGACGTCGTATCGACTCTCAAGTAAATTACGGGCAATCGCATTGTTGAAAATCTATCCTTTGAGCCCAAAACGGAAAATGTGCTCGGAGTTTGGAACGGTATCACTTTTCTGTTCTCCCAATATGTTTACTTCTGTACTTATATGTAAACTGATAAACACTTGGACGCAACATTGAGGAACTGGTTCACCTTCGGCTATCAACATGCAGTTTTGGGATATAGTTTAGCAAGTGGACAAATTCTTTTTAATCCAGCTCTTCGTCTAGAATCAACCACTCCAGTTACTTCATCATTTCGAAGTAGGATAGGAAGACGTATCTTTTCTTCATAGATTGTAAGCAACAGAAAAGGATTTGAGAAACAAATGGCATTATATTCTTCTTCTAGGATATTTGTTTTTGTTTCACAGGGAGGAAAACTGTCTGATATACTACTTCTTCATATCTAGTAAAATTCCAGAAATATCAAGAATTCGATAGTCTATGTCAATAGCTACTATTCTGTTTGGTATTTAAAAGTGCAGTTATTCTAAAATTACTCTTTGCAATCAGAATGACGTTACGAATATTGAGCCTTTTTCCCACATATTCATCAAAGCTTTATTCGATCATTAATAAGATTTTATAAAATATAAATTATGGACTAGTTTAATGAAAACGTCATTATCTGTAATATTAAAAATACAGGTTCTTATCACCGAACGAAATTGAAAGTACTTGAAATAAATTCGCACTGATCAATCACTAAGTTAAAGCAAGTGTTTCCACTCGTCTGATCTACATTGTCAAATCCTATTCATTAAGTTGCAAAGTCATGATTCGTATAAGCAAGATTAGTCCAAATAAATATTCTTATGATGTTAGAAGATAATAGGCAATCAACTAGAAGCCTTAAACATAGATTACGTGTTAGGCATATCTTTAATTGTGAGGAATGCGCGAATTAGGATTCAAAAGATGTATCGAAAAGCTCAAAGATAAAATATTTGGTAGCGAAACAGGACAGTGCAGTCTTTAATGCTACAGAGAGAAAATGTTTGTCAAACATAAACGAGACTAGAATTACAAACACATCAAGGACACTTCCACTATTATAGGTTGAACCTACACAAAAAGAAATACATACCTGTACACCAAACACCAAAATTCATTCAACGCCTACTCCTTCCATTTCTCCGTGATCATCACAACACCCAACACTCACTAGCCACATGAAAACCTAAATATCACTAGTGGAAATATACACAGAGAGAAAACATTCCACAATCTCGATTCACATTGGCACTCACTTACTTACTCACTTACTTAACTACTCACACACTCACTCACAGTCCATCAATCCACAGAATTCAGTTCTCCTGTCAAAGCATTAACATGTGTCAAAGCTTACTTGTTGATCCATTCGTGGCACACTGACCACAACACCTTCTAATCAATTAAAACAACCATTTCCATTCCTACAATCATCACAGAGACTACTGATTCCATTATTGCTCATTGCAAATTCATCACCTATCATCCACAGCAAGCCTTGTCCTCTAACTCTATCACAGGAAAGAAATAACCACACATTTGCATAGTTAACAATCAACAACAATATACTAACTAGTCGTTCAGTTAACCACCACTAACACTACCATCACCAACTCCAAATTCATTTCCAAATCCAACGAATCCTATCCCAGAGAGTAAGGCCATTCTTCCAACAAATACAACCGTCTATAACACAATTAATTCACACTAGTCTAAAACGAGAAAGAAACACTCAGGCAACTAACACCCTACAATAATTAATACCATCATCTATTATATTATTATTACGCGTCAACATTTGTGACATACCTGATTGATTCTTTCGCGGCATAACACACACAGAAATACATACCTGTACACCAAACACCAAAATTCATTCAACGCCTACTCCTTCCATTTCTCCGTGATCATCACAACACCCAACACTCACTAGCCACATGAAAACCTAAATATCACTAGTGGAAATATACACAGAGAGAAAACATTCCACAATCTCGATTCACATTGGCACTCACTTACTTACTCACTTACTTAACTACTCACACACTCACTCACAGTCCATCAATCCACAGAATTCAGTTCTCCTGTCAAAGCATTAACATGTGTCAAAGCTTACTTGTTGATCCATTCGTGGCACACTGACCACAACACCTTCTAATCAATTAAAACAACCAGTTCCATTCCTACAATCATCACAGAGACTACTGATTCCATTATTGCTCATTGCAAATTCATCACCTATCATCCACAGCAAGCCTTGTCCTCTAACTCTATCACAGGAAAGAAATAACCACACATTTGCATAGTTAACAATCAACAACAATATACTAACTAGTCGTTCAGTTAACCACCACTAACACTACCATCACCAACTCCAAATTCATTTCCAAATCCAACGAATCCTATCCCAGAGAGTAAGGCCATTCTTCCAACAAATACAACCGTCTATAACACAATTAATTCACACTAGTCTAAAACGAGAAAGAAACACTCAGGCAACTAACACCCTACAATAATTAATACCATCATCTATTATATTATTATTACGCGTCAACATTTGTGACATACCTGATTGATTCTTTCGCGGCATAACACACACAGAAATACATACCTGTACACCAAACACCAAAATTCATTCAACGCCTACTCCTTCCA